GCCAACGGAACCGTCATTGTAGGTCAAAACAGCATCTCACATCCCTGCGAAGCTATCCCTCTTCGCTCTCCTCGGCCTCTCCTCGCCGACGGCACAGAAAACTCTCCCCACCACCCTTCATCAACACCGACGCCACTCTACTTCGAAGACGACGACCACCCCCCAGGCTTCCTCCCCACTCTCCGCCACAAGAACATCTCCTTCAGCAAATCAGACACCCAGGACCTCCCCTCCCGCATCTCCCGCATCTGGTACATCAATCCCTACGGCCAGGAAATCCAACCCCCGGCTAACCCCCGCGTCATTGAATCCCTCCATGACGCCCAAGCTATCATATATAGCATTGGATCTTTGTACACCTCCATCATCCCATCTATTATTCTTCGTGGCGTCGGCCAAGCCATCGCTACCGGTCCAGCGAGGCATAAGATCCTCATCTTGAACGGGTCCCTCGATCGCGAGACAGGACCGTCTCATGAGCCGTTTACGGCGGCGGACTTTGTAGAGGCTATTACGAGGGCTGGGGAGGAGAGTCGGGGTAGGGGGCCTTTGAATTTGGACCCTTCTGCTGGCGCTGGTGTTGTGGAAGATGGAGACAAGAGAAAGGAGGATGAGCGACTCCCGTATTCGGCGTACGTTACGCATGTTCTGCATCTGGATGGACCGGGTACTCCCCGCGTCGATAAGGATCGGCTTGCTGAGATGGGTATCGAGACGTTGCGGCTGTATGGGAGGAAGATTGTTGGCGCTGCTGGAGAGGATGTGGCTCTTGGGATGCGGTATGATTCGACGGCGTTGGTGCAGGCGCTGGAGGTGGTGTTGGGAAAGAAGGGAGATGCTATGTTGAGGGGGAAGGATAGGAGTGGGATGAGTCGGAGGAATACGCTGGATCCGGGGAGGAGGGATTAGAAAAGAAGTAGAATAGAGCAGATCAGACACCCTTTTGAATTTGACAGAACCGAGCTACAGCGATTACTGTTATATTGTGATTGCTTGTATATTTACATTGCCTGTTTTGACACATCGTCATTAACACAACCATAGAGAAGACACCTGAATTACTCTGACATAGATGATAGATGATAGTCCGTGAATCCGCTGGACGCCGCCCAATGCTTCACGAACGGTTTTCGACATAATACAACTCGTAGAAGAAGATCCAAAACATGGGATAAAAAGGAAAGGCCATGCCGTTCTCAAAGAACGATGGAGTCGATCAATATATACAGTAAAATGATGAAGGGGGTGGGAGGTAGCACTAAGCTCGGGCAGACGGTCTTGGCTTCCAGTTCTGACGGTTAAAGCTCACCTGGGGAGACCGGCTCCCTTGGGGAAGGCTTTTAAAGTCTGGGTAGAGACTGGGTCCAATGTCCATCAGAATGGCCTTTTGTGGTTCCGCTGCCACCGAGCCATAGGGTTTTGCACGATTGCTAGGCAAACGCGCGTTTGGTGGCGCCAGTGTGGACTTTTGTTTAGTGAGCTCTTTGATGATTTCGCGGAGTTCGTTGTCGTCCTTCGAGATCTGAGCGCGGATGAAGGCCGGGTGAGAAGTTTGAAGTGCGGACATGACTGACGGTCGTGGCGTGTACTCGTACTGCTGGGGGTTGGGTGGCGAATTGGGGATGATGGCAGGGTCAAGGTATGCCTTTTCGTTCTTGTCCAAAAGCTGCGCAACGTCAAGACTCTCGCCGTGGGGAATCTTGTGCGGGTGGGATGGGGTCACGCAGTCCATATCAACCTCCTTCCGCAGGACGTGGTCAATGTCCACAGCTGAGAAGTAGGCGCAGGACTGAGGAAGGTCGTTTATTCCGACTTGCTGAGAGAACATCGCGCGGGTCCACACGTTGGCAACCTGCAAAGCCAGCGCAGCTCGATACTTGTCTTCGTCTTTAACTAGGTATCTGATTTCGTCGTGGACAGTGATTGCTAGACGAGCGGCGATGTTGAAGCGACGAATGAGGTAGTCCATCGCGACAATTAAGAGATGGAGGTAATCAACGCCAGACGACTGAATGGCCCAGTTGATTCTTGATGTCATGAAGCTTCCCTTGTTGATGAAGCGCCGCATCAGCGCTTCAGTAATTCCGGCCCCTAAAGTGGGTGTTCTGGGCCTCTCTTGCTCAGCGAATTCTTCCAGTTTGTTGAAGACGAACGACTCGGTTCCGCCCCGCCAGAAAGGGCCTTCACAAAGTATACGACGAGTCGTACGGGTACCCTTCGTCTCTTTATATAATTTTGTTGCAACCTCCTGGGTCTGCCTTTCCGACATGGACGGATTGAACTGACGCAGCAAAGTAGCGGCGAACTTGACGCCAGCTCCATAGATGCGTCCATAGTTGAACACCTTGGCGTCGTTACGTGAGATACCCAGGATCTGGGCAGTGCGTGAGTGCATATCCGTCCCCGCTGCCTTGGACCCTTCCAGTGTCATGAAACCAATGGCGTTACCGCCGTGAATTTGGAATTGAGCGTCTCCAACAAGACTGGCAATCCATAGCTCCTGAGAGTCGACATCTGCGCCGACAAAAGAGTAGCCAGGTGGAGCTTTGATCATAGCCTTGAGCTCAGACCCGACACGGTTCCCTTTTGCATTACTGGCTGTAAGCCATGTGTTTTCCACCGCTCTTCGAGTGATGGTTCCCATAGGGATGATCTGTGGCAAAATGAACCCGAGCCGGTGGTCTGTCTTACCGCTCGATGTCAGGCCTCGCACTTCGTCCTCGTAGACTACCATTTGACCCATGATACGGTCACGGGCACTGATCCAGTAAGAGCAGGATGCATTCATCTCTAGCGCCTCCTTGGCGAGGGCGTACTGGGATGAGAGCGTTCCACGTTCAAAGTACTGCATGTACCCTTTCGCCAGAGGATTTGTGCACCGCGCTTGAGGCCCATCTTTGTGCGGAAGCTTGAAGTAAACGTGTTTTCTGTCATTCTGCAATTCGGGGTTCTTCTCCTCGGACATGTCACACAGAACGACAGGCTGGTTCTCATAATTCTTGACAAGCTCGCGCGGGACTTTGAAAGTCCACCCATACTTATCGGACCATGTCAAAGGGTAACCGTCCCACGACAGTTTGAGAAGTATAGGCGCGATACGAGTACGCACAGATAAGCTGATGTCCGATGTGTTGGTGGCAAACAGATCTTTATACCACTTCGGCATACCCGGCTTCTTCTGCCTGGCAGCTGGTCGCGGAGGGTCGCCTTTCTTCTTTCCTTTGACCATCTTCACCTCCTGGCCAGACCAGTCCAACTGCCGCAGCCAGGGATCGTTCATGTAGATGTCCGGAGAGTCTTTGACCTTCAGAGCTTCCTCACAAAGTTCGATCATTTTCCGTTGAACATCCTCAAGGCGCTGGTGATAGGTCGCTTCCGCATTGGCGATGTACTCCTTCCATGTCTCGTTCACTGGCAAGATGACGGAAGAAAGATGTCGAAGGGCGCCAAAGCTGACAGGGTGCGGACAGACTTCAAGGAAGTTAGGGAAAACCTTCTTGTACACTCGATGGGTAATGGCAACATCTGCTGCACAATAATCAAGCAGTTCCTCCAACTTCCCCAGGATTCCATTCCTGTCAAGTTCACCGAAATAGTCACGTTGCGCCTTATCGATCGTAACATCACAATGAAACTTGGCCACGTCGCGAAGCGAATTCACCGAGCTCCTCCCTACCCAGAGTTCTTCTTCCTCATCACTGAGCATCTTACTTTCTAGTATGGCTGCCAGCTCAACTGAATTACTCTCACTTGCAATCTTATTTCTCAAATCCCTATTCTTCTTGTGTCGCATCCAGGTAGGCCTCTGTTGTGAACACATACCATTCACAGCCACGTGAAGCGACATGGTATCGAGAAAGAAGTTGCAAGACTGAGTCATATCATACTCCTCGAGAACACGAGCGCGATCATAACCAATATTATGGCCCACGACAATTCGTGGCTTTGATGGGTCTCCGAGGGGAATGAGCTGGACTTCGTTTTCTGATTCTCCTAACAACCAAGGCGATATCCAAGCATACCAAGCTGTAGGACTGACAGCGCAAGCCATAACAGCAAAAGAATGCTCCTTGTACATGACTTCAGTGTCGAATGTCAACATGGACTCGTTCGGTGCATCAACCGCTTCCCACGAGCCGTCGCTGTTGTACTTTGTCCACCCACTGCGTTTTATCCATTTGCGCGGCTTCTCCGGTGAGTTTGCCATAGTGTATTGTTTGGAATAGGCGAGATATGGCTCTGACGCATCCATACCCAGTTTGTAGAAATGCTCATCAAGTGATTGCCCTTGAAGGGCGGGCATGTCAAAGGCGATGGGATCCGCGGCATCTTGTGACTTTCCGAGTAAATCGTGCCTTGACAGATGTTCTTTTGACAAAGCGACTAAGTTGGGATCTGGCGGTTCCGTCTTCTGAAGAAATACTTGGGAGTAGACATGGTCGCTTAATTGTTGGACTCCAATCTCGTTGAATCTAGCGGAAGCGGGGACTGCGAAATCAGTATATAGGGCTTTCGCATCTCTAAACAGCCGAGCCACCCACCTGCAAGAGATTGCCGTTTAGGTGTCTCCTCAGTAGAACACGCTGCAGACTGCGTCGCAAGATACCTTGCTAGCAATGATGTAGATTGTGGCCGTACGATGCGTGGCGAGCGCAATCTCTGCGAACAAAAGCGTAGGACATCCCTACGACAGGGAGTGCAGGGATGACCCCAAAGCATTTTCTTCATAGATATAGAATAATAATTAACCCCATGACATGGTAACGTAGGCCTCGCAGCATTGGCTGCGTGATGATGAATGCGACGAGAGGGACGCCGGCTTTCCAGGAGGGCTCGTACTTTCTTTCCTATCGCGGAATAATCCCAGCGTCATGATTGAAGATTCCCGGATTATCCTCCCTCCGGATGTTGGTCACCGCCTACTACAATGGGCAGCCGAGTGTTATCGGGCATCGATAAGCCGCCAACTATTTCTCCGATCGCCTTGCCTCCCCTCGTCACTCTAACTTCACTTCTCGCTTACCTGCGCTGCGATCTTGCTCAGTGCTGTCTGGGAGATGAAGCGGCAAGATTTACCTGCTGAGGTACAGGATTGACTGAGTTCTTGACATTGAACCGCCACCGCGGATCGCTTCTTAACGCCTGGCTGCCCCTGCGGAGTTTACGCCCGTTCCCTCACTAATCGCCCTTCCCGACAGTACAGATCCAACCGATTCGCAAGGCGCTGATTAGAATGGATAGCGCATCTCCCAGGCGTCGGGCTTCAGTTGCTCGTCATCTTTCCCTAGAACCCTCACCCTCCGCTCCTCGTCGGCTATCCCACGGAAGCATAGACGCACTAGAAACCTCTGGCCACCAAAGGAAGCGCCGTCGGACCAGTCATCCTGAGCGACAGGAGGATGCGCCCCCGGATGCAGTCGATCTTACAACCACCGAGGACATGGACCCTGTGTCGAGGACGCAAGCCAAACAACGAGCAGACGTTATCCTCGCACAGCAGTCCCTAGATCATAACAAAGGGGAGTCTGTTCTACTTGCATACAAGTGTCCCGTCTGCATGGACACCCCGGTTGATGCTACTAGTACTGCATGTGGTAAGTTTTATGCTGCGATATCGCAGGCTACCTAGCTGACTCGATCAAGGGCATCTTTTCTGCCACAAGTGTATTATCGATACCTTGAAGTTCAGCGAAGAACAGCGGTCGGATATGTCTGGGAAAGGCCCCCGGGGCACTTGCCCTGTGTGCAGAAAGTATCTCTCGCGCAACGACTTGCCCGGTCCAAAGAGGAACCTCGTACCTCTACAGATCAAACTAACTACTCGAAAGAGGAGAGAGACTGCGCAATGAGCAGTCATCGCTAATATCAGTCAACGATCGTTCCACTCAGCAACTCCTAACTCGCTTTTGGAGCATCATGGGTAACAAACGGGAAAACAAATGACTTCAAGAGATGGAAGTGAAACATGGCTGCCAATTAATTTCTTGCATCATGGTTAAGGGGCCAGTCATCTCTATTGTTGAAGGGCCTTACTCTTATGGAAAATCCATGAAGGGAGAACACCGGTGACTCCAGCTTCGTGGAATCTAAAAACCTTGGTGTGAACCTGTAAAAAGGGGACCAGGGCCAAAGTTCGCCCTGTCACGGCGAAAATCAGCTTACTCGACGACATCGGTACAGCGAATGTCTTCCTTTAAGCGTTCTCAGCATACTCTAGCATACTGTGGGGGGTTGGGAAGATAGATTCTTGGGGAGAGGCCCGGAGAATACCACGGCTCTTGCATAGACTAATAACGTCGCGCCCCGGCTTTAATAAATAAGCTTACAGAAGCCAAGACTGATCGTGCAGTAGTAGCTTGTCCATCCACTAATGAAATGAAGACTTTAACAACTCCCTGTTTTATTGTCTATTCCCTCCCTGTTTAAGCCGCGTTCTTGCTACTTTACTATCTGTCGATCTCTAGAATGCGGATTTCTGCCGGTGGAACAATTGGGTCCGTGTGGCGACGTCATACCCCCGCGAAGGGGAATCACGGTTTCGCGCTCTTTCCATCTTAGCCATTTTTCCCTTTTGCTCTCCCTCTCCTATCTAAAAAGCTTATATCCACTAGACTTTACCAGCTCTGTGTTTGCTTCAGTCTCACCTCTGTGACTCAGTATGGCATATGTCAATGCTTGCGAGTGCCGTTCATTGCTGGCACCGATCCACCCTTACTGAGTGCCCCTACAACACCCACCAGCAGCATTGACCACATTGCAAGGATGAGCATCTACTCGCAAGATCATGCGCAATCGGCAGCGGGGCTGCAGTCGTCTCAGGACATAGCTGATATCGAGGCAAATCCGCGCACCCCCAATCCGCCCATATCCCCAACTACTAAGGTGCCGCCTTCGCCTCCCCCTGAAACTTTCACCACGGCCGCTAGGCTCAACTCCCGTGAAACTGTCCGAAACCGACTTCGACGCTCCACCACCGCTCGCTCATACTATCGCGAAGATGGCGCGCACGATCCGAATTGGCAGCCCGGCACGGAGCCAGGCATCGATCCAAGCCAGCCGCTTCCTGCTTATAGCACGGAATGGATGGCCTCAACACCCACAGAGCTACACGGGACAAGTGAAATTACCGTTGTGGACTTTTCGCAAAATGAAATGAGGCAATATGTTCTGGACAATGATACCCTTGAACCGTTTCTTGCGCGGGAGAGAGAGCCTTGGGTACAATGCAGATGGATCAACGTCAACGGACTTAGTTGGGATGCCATTAGAATCTTGGGTAACGAAAAAGGTCTGCATAGGCTTGCGGTTGAGGATCTAATCAACGCAACAAACCGCACAAAAGTCGACTGGTACTCCGATCATGCATATATCGTGCTGAAACTCCAGAAACTGATAAAACTCAAAGATGACGACAGTGATTCTGAGGATGAGGAAAATGAAAATACACACTGGACGAATGAGCGCAAAAGTTCTGCAAGCAGTATATCTCTGAGAAGGCCTACTAAAAGAACACTAGTGTTGGAAGCATTGAAGGATCTTTTCCGGCCCAAAACCCGCGAGGACAGTCCCGATGAAAGATACCCAGCGAAAGATGCCCCCTCAGGTAAGGGGAGGTCTACTTCGAAGGCATCTAATCTTGATGATGGTTCTAACGTTAGGTTCACACCCCGGAGCATTCAACGTTACCGCGGTGGCCCGAACGAGGACCGGATAGCCTTCATGGAGCGCCATGCTATACTGGCGGCAAAGGGACTGTGTGTTACTCTGGAACAGGTCTCAATTTTCCTACATGCGGATAATACGGTGACTTCATTCTTTGAAACGAGTGCCGATGATATTGAAGGTCCAATCGTCCGACGTCTCAGTACCCCGGAGACGATGTTGCGCCAATCATGTGATGCTAGTATGGTTGTGCAAGCCATTCTCGATGCTATTATAGACTTGGCCATACCGGTGACCACAGCTTACCAAGACGCTATTGGCGACCTTGAGCTCGAGGTACTGACAGATCCAGACGTGGATCAGTCCAAAAGCCTGTACGTCCTCACTTCGGAAATAGCAATCCTCCGAAACTGCATGCAACCAATCGCAACTGTCATTAATGCCCTTCGTGACCACCGATCCGACCCTGTACATACTCCTGGCTTGGGAGTGTTGAGGAATGTCGGAACCGCAACCCCGACAAATGATTGGAGTCCATACATTGGAACGGCGACCCCAAACCTGAAAAGCCTGAGCGGATCGAGCGTTTCCATCAGTCCAATGTGTCATACATACCTGGGAGATGCGCTAGACCATTGTATAACTATTGTGGAGGGATATGATCAAATGAGAAGGGCTGCTGACAATATGATCGACCTGATATTCAATACAATCGGTGAGTTCAATCTCTGCCACCGAAAATTCATCTGAAGCTTACAGTATCTAGGCGCATATCAGAATGAGAGTATGAAGCAACTCACCATTGTGACATGCTTCTATCTTCCACTTACATTCCTAACGGTGCGTGTTCTTTCGCTTGCATAAGATGCTCATCTGACTGTAAACAGGGCTACTTTGGCATGAACTTCACCTCCTTCGCTGGCATAGAACATAGCGATGCGTATGTCTCTCTATCCACCCTGTAGCAATGGCTGACTCAAACTGCAGATACTTTTGGATGATTGCGGTTCCTTTTGTGTTCGTCACAACCATTTTCTTAATGTAAGTCCTACTTTGGCGTCAGACGGCAGCACCACTAACCCTCCACAGGCGCGACAAGCTGCAGCGTTACTTGGTGTTGCTTGCCCAGAAACGACTGATCACCAGCTCTAGGAGGAGCAGACGAAGGAAGAGAGCCACCGAGAGGACATAAACTTCTTATCCTCGGTTGACAATTATGCGTGTAGATCATGGGTAGATAATATTGTATACAGCCACCTAGAGATAGTAATTGCTATACATACTTACTAGCATCTTACAGACTGCGGGAGTGTTTATAAGGATATTACCAGACCGACAACGTAGCCACAAACATGGTTTACCTACACACAGTGTCACCTGCAATAATCAAACGAATATCAATTATCATCACTTCATATCCCCATACTATACCTGTATGTCTTCAGCGGGAATAAGTATCAAAATTGTCCACACCCGGCCATTGCATCTGCAACCAATCATCCATAGAGAACGCATAGTCCACTCCTACACAGTCTTCTTCCACCATCAAAGATGGCATCACACATTCTTCGCCTAGTCACCACATTACTCATTAGCCAACAAACATAACTCACAGTCACCCAACTTACCCTCATCTACACCCATACTCTGACCCGCATCCAACTCTGCCGCCAAATCACCATCACCAGCACTCAAACAGCCATGAGCACCATCCCCTTCAACGCCACGCTCCCCCACCCGCGCAAGAGTAAGACTAAAAACCTCAGCGGCCCTCGCCGCCTCGCACGAAGTCGCCGTCGAGCCACGACGCATCCAGATAGTCCTAGCCGTTCGAAGGGCAGCCAGCACCTCCTCTATCCTCCTAAGAGGCTTACCCCGATGCACCAACGAGCATAGAATCATCGTCGCCGTTAGGAATAGATGCGTCATGCTTGATGTAATCCGCCAGTGCATGTCGTGTAATTGGCCCCCTCTGCAGGTCTCCTCGTCGAGAATGTGCTGTATGCGTAGGGCGCCGAGTGATGCGTCGATACAGGCGGTGCGGGAGTACGTGAACCTATCACCTTCTGGGTTTGATTCACGCGAAGGGATAGTTCCTAAGTTGAGGAACCGGCGATGAAGCATGATCTGGCCTTTGTATAGGAGGTGTTCGAGGAATAGTCGGGACATGATCACCTGTGGGGAATCGGTCATGCTCGCCTGTAGGGATTTGAAGCGGAGCGGGGGAGGGATGGTGGAAACGGCGTCGTGGAGTTTCTTGTCTGCTTGCATTACTTCTGCGTAACTTGCTGGTTTGACTGCGTCTGCTAGGTTGGATATAGTGCCTAGGGCTATGAGTATGCGTCTCCGCGCGATGAGCTCTAATGTAGTGGTGTGTTCTGTTTCTGGTCGGCTGGGGGGTAGTGCAGTTAGGGATTGGCTTAAGTCTGTGTCGAATAAGTTTCGCGGTTCTGCGGTATCCCATTTCCAGTCGGAGATCATTCGCGGCATGCCCATTTGGCTGGATAGGAGGGTATCGCTTGTTAGTACGGTTGTCCATAGTCGACGGCGCATTTCGCCCTGCAATGGAGTGAGACTGGGAAAGTGGCTGGGATCGCGATGATAGCCCATTCGCATTGCGAGGTTGACTTCGAGCCCGAGCAGGAACCAGATGTTGCGGTCCGCGTCGGGGTTGATTCCGAACTCGATGTATACGTAGTGGACTAGGGTCTCGAGTACGTAGGGGCCAGGCTTGGTGTACTCGCCCATGACGAGGCACTGGGCAACCTTTTTGCGGTAGAGTTCGAGTTGGAGGGTTTTTTGCTCGTCTTCTGCGCTGTCGGTCACGTCCGAGGCCATTACGGCTAGGCAGATCATGCTGAAGAGAAGGCCAACCCAGATGATTGGCATGCTTGTGGAGTCGGACCAAAAGACTTTGTACTATGGAGTGGTCAGTAAGGATTGTAAGGAATCGTTGCTGGTTTCACTCAAAATGTATCAGCTTGCCTCTTGAAGAAAGCTAGGTCCATGAACCGCAGCTAATCATCCGAAGTCAGTGATACTGTCATCGGAGCAGGAAAAAGACTTAAGGTGTCTCACCAGAAGCGACAAGATCAAGATAATTAAAATACTTCGAGATATAGCGGTCAACAGCAGCCTTGGGTGGCAGTGCGGCGATGATCTCAGCCCTTGAGGAAGCCCGTTCACATCCGTAGAGCAACAACGCATGTCGAAAGTGGGGTGGTTTCCCACTCGTGTCATCGATAGATTCGGCCATCCTGACTTGTTCCTCGCGATCACATTGCGCCTTCAAGTCGGCAATGCTGTCCAGAATGGCCGCCCAGTGTTCACCGGCTACATACTGAAGCTCGGAATCGGTGATCTGCATGCTGCCACAATCTGACTGTGTATCTACTACACCACCACAAGGTACTTGTCGAACACTGCTGTTGGGAGTGGTATCTGAGGTAGTAAGCTGTCGAGCCTCGTCATTGTGGATTCCATCGGGCATTAAGGACTTAACGAGACGCTCCAAGTGAACCAGCCGGTCATGAAGTCCAGCTGCTGCTCCAACGGGCGTAGGATGCAATAGGGATGCTGGTGGTTTTTGGGTCAGGTAGACGCATGAGTGACCGCGTGCGACACAGCTGGTACATGGCTGTAGTCGATCGCATCGAGACTTGCGCTGGCGGCATGCGATGCACGAAAGTTGAGGTTTGTCACGTCGTCGACGAGGTTTAGAAGCTGGAGTCCCGGAAGATGAGGACATTGGGCCAAGTTATGACTGGTGAAGCCGACAAAATTATGTTCATGATGGGAGTCGGCGCGGCCTTAATACTACAACAACTAGCAATAGAAGGACCCGGCACTATCTTAGTTGCAGGAAGCAGCCCAATCGGAGGAGCATCGCATATACGAGGACGCCCTCCGATTAGCCAGGAATAGGTGAACCCACATATTATGAGAATCCTCTACTAAGTATCTAGTGTAGCATGGTAGTGATGCAATACTAGGTCACGTAAGTAGCTCTGGAGACACTGCAAGTCATAATCTGGGTCCATGAAGCTTCTTGACTACTGCCAGCACTAGGTCCAGTTATAGCTATAAAATTGTCGAATTACCAAATTTCATTTGTTCCCAGGATATCAATACTTTCGCAGAAAAGAGTAAATTACATTTATTTTCCCTCCTGAAAGTGTATTCCAGACTTGATGAGGAACATAAACATTAAATCAACCTCAAACATTACCGCGCCGACCGTGGCCAATTCCCGAACTATTAATAATACATGATCATAACTTGTGGAACCGTGAAATCATTCAATCTCGAAATGTAAACCGATTAACGGAATGATATCATATTAGCCACCTCATTTATGCCTTCGTGCCGTTGCCGTTGCCGTTGTTGTGATGAAGAACCTTGGAGACTTTCTCCTTCAGCTGAGTAATGGGACCGTGATGCTGGTGACCGTTTTCCTTTGCCTTAGTTTTTTGTGCTGCTGCCGCTCCTCCTTCGTTGGAACTCTTGCTAGTGTCGGGACCTAATATATGGTTAGTCAAACCCAAAAGTCTTATTAGAGGACAGAACAGTGCTATACTAACCTGATGGTTTCGAGCGGCTGTACCCACGATCCAGGCGCTTCTCAAATTCGTAGGGTTCCCGCGCCGGGGTCTTAGGACCTTTCAGCGCTTCCTCGCTAACTTTGGTATTCCTGGGAAGCTTGTCTCCAGTGCCATCTGCACTATCTTTGCCTTTCTCTTGGGAATCAGAACCACCTTGGTCGGTCTCTCCCATACCGCTGCCTTTCTGAGTAGAGCCAACCACATCGCCGGTCTCATCTTGTGTTGACTTGTCATGGTAAACTCGAGATTCTTTGTTCTGCACCTGGCTCCTTGCGTTCACTGCATCTACTCCACTGGGAGTGGAGTCAGTTGCTGATGAGGTTGACTTGGCTGCGGACAATTTTTCTTGTTGGGCATCCCGTGCCTTCATGTTGTCATTGGCGTTCTGTTTTCCGATGGAGCCTCCGGCGACTGCTGAGCTAGGAGATGCCGTGTCCTTCTGCAATGAGCGGGTTCCAGCGTTGTCGTCTGTGACGCTCTGAGTAGCTCCTTGACCGACGTTGCTCTTGGTTCCTTGTCCCATGACGCCACCAGCAACACCTCCAGTGGCCGTTGTACTACCGTATTCATTGTCTTTCTGCATAGACTTGGCTGCGTTATCTGGCATTTGCTGAGCAAATTGTCCAGCGCTGGAGGTTCGTTGGTACGCTGTTCCCTTGTTAATCGATGAAGGCACGTTTACTCGATCTCGTGCATCCACTCCATCCTGAGCCGCCTGGCCAGAAGGGGCATAGGCGCCAGTAGGGCCAGAAATGTTTGATTTGCCTAAGACTCCCTGATCCCTGGCCGTGGAGGTATTGTCACGAACAGCAGTGGTATCCCGGACTCCTTGGCCAGAGTAGGCATACGCACCACTAGTGGCCGAGGACGAGCCCGCGGTCTCTCTGCCTTTTTGGGTGTACTGGCTTCCCATACCGGAGGTTTGGCTTCCCTGACCGTAGGTGGAGGCCTGGGTTCGCTGCTCAGGAACAGCTGCCTGAGACTGCCACTGTTTATTACCAGAGGTAGCACCTCTTGTGGGGTAGTTCATCTGCTGGCCTTGGTATGGCTCACTGACGAAAACATTTTTGGGCCCGAAGTCGGCATTGCTGGGTGACTTGGGGTTGCGGGCGTGGTCAGCATCGGTAGACGCAAGTGATTCAGGGATGACGGCGGTGTTTTCCTTTGTCCTAGGAGCGCCAGGTTGTTCTAGTCAGAATGGAATTAGCTTCAATTTCTCAATCAATAGTTCGTGATTTTTCGGGAGATGTATGGGCGGTTGATGAGGCTCTTACCGTCACGGTTTCCGGCGTCATAGGGGTCCGTCGCAGTTCCTCTGCCTTGGATTCCAGAGAGAGGCTCGTCGCCATGCTGCTGGCTGGCAAATTGGTCATCTGGGGTTTGATTGGGATGGATCTCGCTCCATAGAGCATTTGAGGCGTTGTTAAAAGTTCGGTTTATAGTCTCCATGTCGATGTGCTAGGTCGAGAAAATTGAATGGTAATATGATGAAATGTAAGTCTAAGCTACTTCAAAAAGCGCTGGACGCCTCGTTTATCAATGGTTGGAGGCGACGATCAAAGAAGCTTGTGTCGTCAGAGCTGTGGGCGGGGTTTCGAAAAGGCTGGTTAATCTGCGGGATGCGGTTTTTCTAGAAAGGCAAGAGAACAGCAGCATATTATAGTACGTCAGTGGCACGAGGCGAGAGTAGCGCAAACAGACAAGCATTAAGGAGCGCATTGGCAGCCATTGACTGTAGATCGCTGAACCCGCGATGTCATCACCCCATCCCGTGACGTCAGGGGACGTCACCTGTCACGTGGGTAGCTCTGGACCGACCAACTGGCAGCGACAATGCAAGAGGAAGAGGAGCAAAGCCAAAGTCAATTAGAATTCTATGGACGAAGAGAGACCCTTAGGGGCAGCACAATTGGAACGGTGACTCGTAGATACTTAGAGCTTCCCTCAGCAACGCCACGCCACCACACAAAGCACACCAAAAGCAAGCAAATAACGAAATGCAATATGAATTGTTCACAGTAAGAATGTGATCCCCTACGACAAATATCAGCGCCAAATCTGGATCATCATGGCCTTTGCGCAGAAAAACCTGCGAGTGTCTCGTGGCCGAATATGAACGCCTCTGTCAATCCCAAACTATGTCTCCTTCGGGTAAGAGAGCCACGGAACCCCGTCACACCTGTTTGCTCGTCTCCGCGGCATTCTTCGCCTCCGGGTTCAAAGGCTGTTTGGGATCGTATCCCACACTCTTGACAACCCCTAGTCCCTTGGTCTTTCCCTCCCGGAAAAGCACTCGATCTCCGGGGGCCAAAAATTCGGGACGCTGAACAAACCTGAACGCAACCAACGCACGGTCACCGCCCCGAATGAAGGGACGATCAATGTCAATGACGGAGCAGGTTTGGCTTACTGCGCCGACATGCAGCATTGCTTGATACCGAGGCTTAATCGTAGTAGCGTGAGATATGATTAGGACTAACCAATGTCAGTTCAACAGAATGAGTAGGAAGAGAACAACTGGTAGACGCACCCTCAGCAACGAACTCCCTGTAGACTTTGGGAGGCTGATCCAACTTCTTGAGAACTACCATGCCTTTACGGACTTCCTTCCGTCGGACGCGCTTCAAGGCGAAAGAGCCTGACTGGCCTGCAAAACAAGCGTTGACCTGGATCCGCTTGCGCTCGATGGACTTGATCGTGGTAGTCGTAAATTGACCAAGAGAGTCAGGGCCAACCAAAACAGTATCGCCAGCGTGTATCACACCCGACTTGGCCACCCCAGAGACAACTGTACCCACATGAGGTACGGAGAACGTATCATTGATGAGGAATTCGAATGGAGCATTCACGTTGTAATGGCCGCGGTGAGGAAGGATATTCAGGAACGTCCGAACAAGGTCCAGGTTCTCTCCAGTGACGTTGGACACCTGGAAGATCGGGCAAATTCGCTGGCTCACGAACTGTGTCGCCGTGTTGATGGTTTCTTCCATGTCCTTTACGAAAATGGGAATTTTGCGAGAGCCAGGCGACTTGAGAAGTTTGCTGAGCTGGGAAAGGGTCTCTTCTAGAATCTGCGGTGGACAGATATCAATCTTGGTGACAATTACCATGACTGGCACGTGTAAAGCCACAGCGATACCCAGGTGTTCTTTGCTCATGCCAATGAGGCCATTGTTGGCCGCGACCATGAGTAAACAATAGTTGGGGCTGCTGCTCAGCATGCCGAAAACCGTAGTCCGCAGGTACCGTTCATGCCCAGCAAGATCGGAGAAGGATATTACTTTGGCGGAACGCCTTCCTATTTCTTCCCAAGACATCTTCCGCCCATGAGCGCTGCTTACAATGTCACCACGGCTGTCGAAACCCATTATCTCCATCCCTACCGAGCTGGTCCGGCCGCTCTCGATTTCGTGCTTGTGGCGGAACAGGTTGAGTCGAGCCTTTCCTCGGCCATCATCCAAGTTTCCTTTGACTAACACACCTAGCATGGTACTCTTACCTGCGTCAACATTGCCAACAACTGCCATGCGGATCTCAGCCATCTCCTCCACGGTACCCGCGGGCTGTCGGATCAAGAGCTTGCCCCAAGAGCCTTTGATTCGCTCGTGCTTGACGCGCCATTCCTCAGGCCCGCCGACATTGTAGGTAACAAGGATTCGACAGTGGGCAGGAAGGGTTTCCGCCGCTTCCCGCAAGCGCTGCAAGGCTGTATTCCACTGACTGAGATCAAAGGACATGGACTCCCCGCCATCCTCAAGACCCAGGTCGAAGAGAGTCTCACCATGTCCTTCGTCAATGCGGGTTTGTAGAATGTTTGCGAGTATTTGGAGGTCATGGTCTGGCTGTTCACCAGTGCCCAAGAGCAACTCCTTCAACTTGATTGATTTCGGAGCATCCGAGAGATCCAGCTGGTCGAGAATATCCAGTTCGGCATGGTCTTCATTTACTGGAGCTGCGCTGGCTGTTTCGTAGCCGCTGTCACTAGGTAAATACTGGGCCGATCGCTGGGCCTGTTGCTTTTCAGCGTACTCGGCGAACTCGCTGAGGGCCTAAGTGTTGGCTACGTGTTAGCGGGAATGCCAGATTGCTTCGCGGGGGGGATGCACACAATCTCGCCTCTCCGCCGTTCTTCCAACGAGGGCTTAGGTCCAGCCGTCCGCATTCTGGTGGCTAAATTGGTCGATTATCAAGATAGTGGCAAAAGAAATAAAATTATGGAGAAAAGGCACGTTATCAATCTGCGATATGATGCGTCACTCGGTCGGGTGGAAGATGGATCGCCGCTGGCGCACTCAGACACGTATTCGTGTTATCATAATTCCACGTGTGAAAGACGAGATCAGGTCGAGAGTAATGATAAGCAAAACAGGTTAACAATATACTGAGGGGTCTGGAGCAAAATAATAGGGTGAATGAGAGGGCGGATTGTGAATGAGATTCTAGCAGGGAAGATGAGACAGTAAGTGTCGGGGAGGGAACCGGGGAAGCTTTATCGATAGGAAAGTGCGAGTCATCGCCGCCTCGTGTGGCCCCCAAGCGGTTTATTGAGTCATACGGCTCAGCACAGTCATTTTCTCCATGCAGCTAAGCTATGCTGAGATGGCTGTCTTGTTACTGCCACAGTAGCCAATTCCCATTAAGTGTTTTAGGCCAGGTTGCAAACCAGAAACCCTGGTCGCTGCTGTTGGTTTCCTCGCTACATATGCCAGAATGGCATGATGCCATGTACCACACGCCGTACACCTTCCTAATACCCCTCTATATCTGAAACAAGAACATTTGCAGGTCCAAGCATGACCGAGTACGTGAATACATTAAAAGGTAAAATGGTATAGCCTGGAAACCCTGTAACATCGCCTGGTGTTTTCGTGGTCTCGTATTTCGTAGCTTGGGTGAAAGATGGCCCCAACAATATCCGACGTGATCCGTCTTCCTACTAGTTGTTATTACCTCCCAAATCTTATGCCTGAGGCGAAATCAGAACGACGGAGTCTCCTATTACGAAAGGTCAGTATGACAAGCCCCGGGCTCTACCGGGAACGGCATCACAAAACGCACCTCGAACGAAGAGCATCTCTTCTTGCTTCTTGATGGTCTAAAGACGATCATTCTGCGTTAGCCCAGCACCGCACTAATATAGCCTCCCCCCTAACTGGTTGTACTATAACCGAGGTAGATGGATAGAGCGACGTACTCGGAGGGTCTCTTGCTCGTTCTCGTCTTCCTCCACCACGTAGATGGTCTCCTCAACATCTCCTAGCACCAGGTTGCAATGGCTATCGTATGCCTACCACAGACCATATGTCAGTAAAACGCCACGTAGTCAGAAGTCGGAGGTCGGCGTAAAACTCACATGGAGACGACCCTTGAGCTCGCGATCGCCGCGCAGCTTGACAAAGACGATTTCATCGAGCGACAGGCGCACCAGATCTAAGGGTTCGGAGACGGACGATGTGCCCGCATCCTCGGTGTCGGCCATGTCGAGGTCGAGAGGGTGGAAAAGGAGAGACTGGAGCGTGAAGCTAAGCGAACGAAAGGAAGGGGGGAGGGATCCAAGCTGCAGCGTGCACAGCAGACGCGGGACATGGATGGTGAAAAAGGCTACAGAGTCTGACAGGGATCTGGCCCGCCAAGACCACAACAAGCGGCACCTCCTCATTTACTCCGCTTTTATAGTCGCAGCTCGATTCCCCCAACTTCTGACGGCCTGAACCCCCCGGTCTTTTTCTCTACGTTCTTTCATGTTTCCGGCCCTCAGATCGCAATGCTGGGGTTTATTCGTGCCAGTGAGAGCTTAGGCTCTCATTTGGTGTGTCCTACATACCGTCGATGTCAATTACCTGGCCTACCTCGCTGTTCTCCACTTCTTATACTTCGGGATCCTACGCGCCGCCCACGATCGTCCAGATCGGAACCATCAATATACCGTCCTCAATATCGAAACGAGATGCAGTATGGGAACAGAGACAGGTTTGCTGAAAGGCATGCTCCACGGCCAGGACGGGGAACAACATGCATACTGGAACCTGGTCAGGCTGACTTGGGCGATCATAAGATCCCCAAGGCACAAGACGACAGAGGGGACGACATTGGGGCTGGTCCCCAGGTCGAGAGTTTGGAGGATGTGAAGAGAGACTTCAACGCTATTCTCCGGGATGGCCAACCAGACCAGGTGATGGATGCGATGCTTGATCCTCGCTTTGAGAGCTTAGTTTGCTTGATGCCACAAAGCACCTTTGTTGAAGTCTTCCATCTCCTCTCTCCGGCTTACTTTATTGATCCTTATCGGGAAATCCATCGTCCCCTTCATCCGTCGGCTGTCGATGTCAAGCAGTACAAATCACTGGAATCGATTTTTGACGAGTTTGCCAATAACCTGTCTGCCATCCTGCAGATCAGGTGGGCGGGCGGCCAGCCCTTGGGCTTGGCTGAGTACACGCACCTGCTCGATTGCGCACGCTCAATGGGCGACGCTATCATGGCAGACTATATCTGGCATACAATTAGGGAGGATGGAATGGTGCCGGATTCCCAGTGCTATAACTACTACATGGAAGCGAAAGTCTGGGATAAAGCATACACCGGCTTGGAGAAGTATCGCCTCAGAATGACCCCTTACCTGTATCGGAAGAGGAGATTCTTCGAACCCAACCCCGGATGGCAAGGTTACGGTACTGCCGCCCGGAGTGTGAGAAAGGAAGTGCTGCAGATCTTTAACGAGATGACACAGGAGGGTACCTCGGGGGACACAACTACCTTTGTCAATGTGATCCTTGCGTCAAGCCGAGTTGGCCATATGCAAGGAATCAAGAATGTCCTGCACACCGTCTGGAACATTGACGTTGATGCGCTGCTAGAACAGGTCGATGAGTCGATGCTCCCGGAGGTGACCCCATACGACCGTTCCTCACCGCTGTACCCCACAAGTCATCTGCTGTTCGCCGTGGCGCATGCCTTCGGCACCAACAATGACATCCCTGCCGCTCTGCGCACCATAGATTTTATTTCGAGCAGATACGACATCCCGGTGCCGGAGAATGTCTGGCTCGAGCTATTTGAGCGATCGTTCGTTTTGTCTCGTCCGAGGTTTGGCCCTGACGCTGAAAGGAACGCAAAGGGCCAGGTTTCATATGACTTCCTCAACTCCATGTTCGAAACGATGACAGCCGAGCCTTTCAACGTGCGTCCAACAATCGAGGTGCACCATATTCTCGCCAAGACTGCGTGGGATCGCGCCAGGCTGTCAGAATTCAAGCACCATATGGAAGCTGCGTATGACCTCTTAAGGGAGACAAGAAAGAAGAGGAGAACTGCAAGGTCGATCATAGAAGCATATCTGGGGCAGCCACAAACGCAAATTCTGAGATCGCGAGCCTTTGCAGATGCTGTGCACGCGTATGACATTCTGCGCCTGCGCACTATGCAGCAAACCGTTATCATGGAGCGTCTTGCAAGGCTTTTACTAATTCACCGTCGCTGGGTGGGTAGTCAGAACCAAGTGTGGGAACGAAGCCTTCTACCGCAGGCGCTGGAAGAATGGCGAGACTTTTTGCCAGAGTCCGTGGTATACCATACCCGAGGAGGCCTCGTCGAATTTGATGGTGCCACCTCTTGGCGCCAGCGTAATATAAGATCCCATGATAGAGTACCAGTCCGGCGGCCAGCGTTCGGAACAAATATCGAGCTTGACGACGACGCGAACGATATTGACGACGACATTTTCTGGGATTATTATCGACAATCTGCCCCACACCTTGATCTGTCCATTCCACCTCTGAGAAGGCTTTTCGAGGCTGTCCAAGAAGACAATGTCAGTAGCACTTACGACGACGAAGCTTTTCTGGCCGAAGAGCTGGAATATGAAGCCGGTGAGCTTGAGATCCCTAGGGTTGGGAGAGCTGCGAGGACGCCCAGACAGCGCGCGACCACTAGGGAGCACCAAGCAGGAGAAGCCGACGAACCCATAACCACAGGTCCGGGGCCTCTCTTGTGGGCTTGATTTTGGCTCATTATCGACCGTTTCTCTTTCTCTCACTTCTTCATCGCCGTCTTCTTCTTTCTCTTCTCCTTTTACTTCTTTTCCTCATTTTCAAACTTCGATTGTGACTTTCATCCCGCATCTGGAGATGTTAACAATTCCCAGAGACACGTTCACTCAGCCCTTATTTCTCTCTATTCTTTTCTTTTCTTCTGGTCCTAAAGCGGGACCATATGATGAGCTGATCTTTGGCTGTCAGTTATGATACCTCAAGTGTGCATGTATTGCCTTACCTGAGCGGATACCCCTGTCTATATGACAAGTTGCATATTGAGCTCTTTTGTGCTTTTCGAATATTAAGATTACTCTTTTGATTGTGATTAATGAGTGAGAACAAGGTGAGAATAGGGTGACAAATAAGTTTGCTCTGTCAGTAATGAAAGCAGTAGTCAGCATCAGTCCTTCGAGCCAAGCGCTTCTCGAGACGACGGGGTGCATACCTATACAAAAATGGAAATAGACCTCTGTAAAAAAGATCTCCAGACGACGTCAGTCCATCAAGGAACCAATCATAATCATATACATACAATACGGGTATATGCTACAAACGCAGGGCACCTATTCAATCAGCCCGACAAGCGTCATCAAAGTGTCACTGGCTAAGTCAATAGCCAGGCTCCATCATCATCATCATATCTTCTCCGCCTTCAGGTCATTCACCACCATGTACCGACCAATCGTAATCCAACCCCACCGGAACCACACCATCTGGCTCTGATGGGCCTTAACCATAGCCGACTGCGCAGTCATCCATTCATTAACGGAGCTGACAAACAGAAGCCGAGAAGGAAGCTGGCCCTTAGAGCTCCCACCACGGCCAAATAGGGAGTTCAGCGCGCCCCGAACCATCGTAAACGGCGCATCCAGAATACCAGCGTACTTACGCAGAAGATTCGTCGTGGTGAGCGTATACAGAGTGACCGGACAGGTATACCCGGGTTTGTCCTTCATCAGGGTACGCAGGAAATGAACAGCGCCGTGGTACAGAGATCGGTGATTGGGGTGGTTGCTGATACCTCCCTTATCGAAGGTCAAGAGCACGTCGATAGTCGCCGTAGGTGCAGAGCCAGCTTTATTCGACTTCTTCTTGGAATTAGTGCTATCGCTGAGTTCAGGAGCAAAGGCGTGTTCGAGAACAGCTGATACGTCGGACTCTGTCCACTGGATTGACATGCTGTCGCGGAAACGGGAGGGGTCGTCGATGATGTATACGTCCGATTCTTGGCGTAGGCCCAGTTGCAGGGCGCTTTTCACGAGCTCCTTTTTGCGGATGTGGCCCAGTCCGTCGGCGTCTCCTATATCATAGCGCAAGGTAGGTGTTAGTGTGTGTGTATTGGGGGTGTTTGATCGATGGTACCGGTGGGTGCTTACCACTGCTGAGGCAAAGGATCTTGAGATGGTTGCCGTATTCCGGCCTGGTCAGGGCCAATACCGTAGGCGCGAAGAACATGGCTTCATCGTCGGGGTGGGCGATCAGCAGACATATCCGCTTGTTGTATAGACGTGGGAATGCACCGCCGAAGGGTGAGGACGTGGTTGAGGATAATGTCCAGAAGAGGAACACGGCTAGAATCGCAGAACCGAGGGAGAGCAAGGTTGACGGAGACATGGCGTAGGAGTGGTGAGAAGAAACGATTTAGGCTTTGGATTTTAGGAATGAAGGGGAAATAGTCAGGAGTAAATGGATCGTCGCGAGGCTTGACAAATTGTGGGAGAAGCAAGTAGCAGCTCAACGGGGTGCTTTTTCGGGGGATATTCGACGATTGTTCGCCGCTTGCATGAAATGCTGCAAGCGATGCTTGGAGTTGTAATCCACCAATTGTTTAGCTATAGCATACAGTGTGCGTTAGATTATTCAAATTTGGACATCGTTAGGGGAGAGGTACCCCAATGGGTTGAATGGTGAAGATTTAGAAAAGGGATAAATAGTTGAGTCGTCTCAGGGTCCTAGGTTGACGATCTCTAGAGCTCCATGCCTCCCGGACGCGGAGCTATCACCACGTGACTTACGAATTGAGTACATCGGAAGATAGTTCCAATTGCATTTCTAATTGTAGGAGATTAGTATGATAAATTCTCCGAATTTGGAATACTCTATAGTTTATCAGATTCTACGTCGCTTAGATGATGTAAATGGCCTCAAGCTTCCAAGCACTAGTATTGTTGGCTAGAAAATAGTCATGATGTTGACAATATATACTAGTAGGCTCGGTACCACCTGTGGTTTTATAAATATTTACGGAAGCGAAGACTGGTACCATTGTTCACCAATCCGCTACATTGTTATACGGAACAAGTCAAAAATTAAGTAGTAATATCTATCAGGAAAAATTTACAAAAGTATCGAAATATCCTTCCAGATCAAATTTAATAAAAAGAATGTACACTCCAGAGTGTCGCTATTGCGTGTTACACTACCAGCGATCATTCCGACGCCAATGACATCAAAACTTCCAAGTGCATCATGCCAACCTTTAGCTGACTCAAAGGTCAACATTGATAATATTATTAATGCATCTCACTGACTTCAAATCATATTCATTTTCAGCAACAGCATACGTATCTCCCAACAACCCAGCTGTCACCTTCCTAATCCGTTGATAAATTAGTAAGCTAACGCGTGGAATAGGAGGTTATGGTCCCCACCAATCACATGAATGGCACAGAGCACTTGCATTTGCAGGTCCTTTTGCGGACCCAGCCAACCTTATGAAATAGGACAAGGCTATCACCATGGGTCCTATAGCTCATAGCCCGGGACTGCTTACGAATTCCACGTCGATATACAAATCAAGGAAGGGCTAGACGTGTCCCCAGGGTAGTATTTGGAAAAGAGACATGTCTCGGCTCGACGGCATCCAAAGACTGACTGTACCAAGCAAAGTACGGAGACCCCGCGGTTCTCCGGTCCCAAAAGATAACCAATGTCACTAGTAGTACCGGGTATAGCCAATAATGTGAGACGACACTACAATCGATATATTGATCAAGGCTTCTAGTGATTCCTTGTTGATTCTTAGTGATTCCTTGTCAGTTTCTAGTGTTTCTCCCGCGGGTAGAGTCGGTGGTGGCGGGGGCCAGATTGAATAGAGACGTCATCACATGGCCGTGATTCAGCTCTCTTTTTCTGGTTTAGATAATGGTCATTGATAGTAGCTGGGTCTAGATTTAGTGACTATGGTCCTAGGGATCAGTATCAATATCCCAGATGGTCAATGACAGGCCGCAAGACACATTCAAGTCACGAGGGAGTCTCGAAAGTAAAGTCAGTATACAATCTTCTCCTAGCAACAAAAGTCACTTCTAGAACATCCGAAGATTAACTGCACTAGCACGTGGAGCAAATAAGACAGCTTAATTTTGGCAGAAATCCACGGCCTCTGCAGTTCGGCCCGGAGTAAATTCCAAATAGGAGGTTTTGGCTACGAAGGTCGTGGGATATCCTACCATCAAAGTTCTCGGGTGCTGATAGCCGGTATTGTAGGGCTGAAAACCCGCGGACACACTCTCTGCCAGGGTCGGTTCACATGGCAATTGCTGCGCAGCAAGCCGCGGCCAGTAGCTATAGGTTAGCAATTCAATGTCGAAAACGGCCATGTATATACCGCCGAGCAAAGTCCTTACGACGCAATCATGTTCAAGCGACCAGTCTGAGGCTATGGCGGGATCAACGCGCCGAACTTGACCCCCGCGGGGTTCAAGAGCTCGAGAGTCTATCTTATTGTAAGGTTATAAGAAACCGTGAATCTGCCACGAAACGTAAACACAGACGTCGTGGCAATTTGCAGTCGGTCTAGGCAAATAAAGCGCGTAACTTGAGCGACGATATCCGAGACCATTGGGCCACCGTTAGTCATGAAATATATTGTTTTGTGTAGAAAAAGCGGTAGAAAGTGGATAGCATCAACCTGGGCGGACGGCAGGTACGGCGTCAACCAAAGACTGCAAGTGGTGTACCCACGGACCGATCTGACTTCCGTCGAGGACCTTACCGGGCAAGGGAATTGGGGACAACGGCAGTCGCCGAAGTCCTGGCCCAGAATGGTGTAATTCGGGCTAAATGGGGCATCAGTGAGTGATTTAGCTCGTCCAGAGACCTTGGAGGAGAAAGGAGAGAAAATTCTGAGGCGCTAGTGCCATGGTGAAGAGTCATCGCATGGAGTCCGCCAAAGCTAACCATGAAAAGAGACCCGGGCCGGTGGGCATGCCCCGTTCGATAAAAACGGGGGGTGCGGCGTACCGCTAAATACAAAGTAGTACCAACATCCACCTTGGGAGGGGTTTTCCGAGGAAAAGACCCAATGGAAAGGGAGAAACAGTAAACATGGCCTTGCACCTTGTGAGAAAACGCTATAACATTCGTAGTTGGCATCATTAATATGACCATTCGCTGCTACTACTACTACTACTCGTACTACCTGTTTTGCAGCTGCATGGAATGGGTCCAAGCTTCTGCACATCCAAGCTGGGAGGGGTTTCATGAAGCCGTCACGGCACTAGCTCCAAAGATGGCGGTTAATAACGCAACCGCCATGCGTGCTCAGGCAGGAGTAGAAATCCCTCATCTAGGCATCTCTTGCTGGATGGAGACTACACGATTGGCAGAAAAGGACCTAGCATTTACGGAGAATTTGGTCATACTTTGTCGGAGTCGGTTTGTATCTGTCGCCATATATCAAACAGATTCGTATTATAGAGCAAAGACTAGCCTGGATGGTGAGTTTCATGCAATTGGGGAAATCATATCAGTAGTAAGGAGTTTTCTGCAAGTAAAGAATGGTCACCGGATGCAGTCTTCACTGTCTGATCATCAGTGTATTGCGCAATGGACCAAGATTTACTGCATGCACCTGCGTTGGCCTTTCCCCAAGATTTACTGGATGTAGAAGTACTCTTCAGGAGCATCAGCTGGAGGCGGCACTTGCCGACCCAGATTTTAGCCTGATACAGTCAATATCAATTCTTTAACATCCCCATCTATGAAAGGCCTGCGATCATGTAACATGAGCCGACCAGTACATTGTAGTTGAGGCTTGGCGGGTAACACTGAGGCTAAAATCCTGTATAGTAACCTCCGAACTCGTGGCGTGATCGAATCGGCCATCCGTGGCCGTCAGCAACAAGATGTGCCGAAACTCTCAGCGAACCGGGACGGTCAAGCCGACAGCTGGAGGACCATCAGGGTGAAAAGTCGGCCAAGGTACCTGGATCGTCAGAGGTCAGACCGATCATTCAGCATTGCGCATGCTGTCGTCCTGGCAGCTCAATGGGTGGTGGTGAAACTGTTAGGTAATGGGTATGGCGGCAATGGGTAGCCATTCGTCAGAACGTCAGAACTGTCCCTGGCCAAGTCACAACGCACGTTGCTTTAGTCTAGAACTTCAAGGTTAGTAGTACTTAAGTGAATATCATATGTTACTCTCCTGAGATATTATTTCCCCATTCAATTGTTGTTTCTCACGCAACTCTCATGCTATACTACGAGGCTAACAACCACTTCACTCACTTACTACACCGGCCGACCGGCAACTGCTGCCGGATGATGTGATGCCCCGCATAGAACGGAATTTTTCAGCAGTGCGGGGAAAAGGGCGAACCTATCGCCTTGCAGTGAGCGACAACGGAATCTTCCTCCTGAGTGAAAGGGTCCCTGTTAGCGCCGTCAAAATCAATCCTGAGACTTGGCCAAGAATGGCAATAACGAGGAGAGCCTGCAGCCAGCTTCGTCATTCAGGTCCTCAGTGCCTGAGCCCGAGCCTCTGACAAAGCCACTCGACCAAGTCTCATTCGAACAGGGTACCGCTGTACCGAACGGGTGAAAATAAAAAAAAAAGGCACAAAGTCCCAATCAAGATTTTGTCGGCTTTGCCCTTGACATTTTAGTCTTTTTACTTCTTCTTACTTTTGGCCTTGTCGGGATGTGGAACCTGGCCGAGCTGTAACCTCAAGACTTAAGAGGCGCTGCGATGGAATAAAAAAATCTGTGAAGAATTTTTTTTCTTTCTCCCAAAAGGTTCCCATTCCGTACGCAAAACATCTGGTTCTGATGGGGCTAGCGTCTCCCTCCGTCCGCGGATTCTGCGCCTCGTTGGCTCAAAAAGTGCAAGCGGCATCACGGATCCAGAGGATCTCCAATTAGTGTCGCAACGTGTTGCGGTATGGTAATGTATACCCGCGTCACGGTGCCGGTCACCGCTCGTACGCGCAAGACTTGCGCCAGACCGCCTTGCGACTGTTCAGATTTTCAGGCTCGCTGTGCGCTATATGACGCCACGTGATGGTTTGATGACGGCAGCTGACCTTCCTGAACGAGCAAAGAAAGCGCCCATTTTGTCAGGTGTCTTTCCGGGCTCAGGTCCCGGCAGCCGTCTTGGACGGATATTCGGTGCCGGAAACACTAAGTGTGATGACTGACTGACTTGTCATGCCTCTTTTGTGTTCGCTTTCTCGTCGCTCATCAGGCACACCTAACAAATTGGCTCTATACTAATGCTGTCAACAGACGCAGTACTATGGTTGTCGTGGCAGGCCCTGGGCCCCCAAGTATATAACGGCCCAATCAAACTGTGGCCTGACCTGGAGGGGAATATTGTCTAGAACCTTAGTCAGCCCCATCGTCCTTGGTTCGGATCTCCAACAAAAGGACATGACAACATCACTGAGCAATTTGGCATGATCTCGAAGCCTGATCATTAGAGCCACGAGTTCATTCTGAATAATCACTAGTAGATATTGCGTCAAGTCATCACCGCCTCTCTACGAATACGCGCCTGGGTCACGCAAACATTCGCGAGCAAAAGATCGACAGCCAGGGGATGGGACTTCGTTCCGGACCCAGGGACAGCCAGACTAAGTCCATTTCTACGGGGTAGGAGTGAGTCATTGCGCACGGCCTCAACGGAGAGGGACATCGGGGGAGCTAATCACCATGCTTTGTGGCTAGCGAAGTTGTTCAAGTGATGCAGCATGTTTGATTAATACGATTCTGTTGCAGCTTCGCAAAACACTCTTCATTCAGATAGTAGCACGTCTTTTTCAGAAGCAGTATGCATGAGCCCGGACGGTATCACATGCGTAGAGTTTCGAAGAAATATGAATGATTCAACCCTGTTGGTAAGGCGCGCATGTTGCGCTGAAGTCGAAACAAGTCCTACCTTGCGTAGAATTTAGCCGAGGACAAGACTGTCTGTCGCCTTGATTCATTGCCATACATAGATCATCCATTTTGATTGGGGTGGTTGCGAATCACAGATCCGGGGATGGGGTCAGACTACTCTGGTTAACTAGTAGCTGACATGATACTTTGAATGAGCAGCCCCAACTTTCCATAGGCTGACGAGTCCTTGAATATTCTAGAATTGAGTCGATGGCATCTACTGTGAAGTCCACCGTGGGGACACATTAACCACTGACAATGAGTCTCCAGATCTAGAATGTCCCATTGATGTAAATGTAACTCTTCCCTACGAATACTATCTAGTATCTAGACCACGCATGATCTTGTGTAAGCCACACATCAACAACAATGGCCAATGGAGCCTGTCAAACCATTCTGTTGCATCGCTCACGCCTTTCTCCTCGGGGAAATCCTTCCGCCAAGCAGCACGACAGGAACGAAGTATTTCTCAGACGCAGACGCTTTCCGCCGGAGACAGCCGTTTTGTCACGTATGGAAAGCGTATGGTAAGACCCACAATGACGCTTTTTCTGCCGCGCCCCACCAGACCTCCATCGTCCGCCCGATGAGATGGAGCCCTGAAGGTGGCCAGACCAGGGAATGAATGGCACCTGTTACATGCGGTGGGAACGTCCTAGAAGAAACCATACTAAAAAAAGGGCGAAATTGGAAAGTAAAAAATTCAGGAGCAGAAAATTCGATTTTGAGGTAGTCCTTTTTTTTTTTTCCTCTTTTCCCTTGGGGAAGAATATATCTGGTACTAAAAAATAAAAAAGCTTGTTGCGTTCATTCAAAGGCAGCTGCTCGCCCACTTCAATTCTTCCTTCTGTTTCTTCTGGTTCTGTCTCATCCAATTTACCTCATCTTCCTTTCACCATCCCATAGCATCTGAACCCAAGTGGTGACCTCAACTATACCGCCGCACTCTCCCATTGTATCCCCCATACCGGTGCTTGGATACTCCATTCCATTATCTTGACAGCAACATCTAGACGAGCGTCAACAATACCACACTGCAACTGGATTATGTACTTGGTCGTCTACCACACATCGCAACTCTACCAATATCGAAGCACTTCCTAAACAATCACTTCCTAAGTTATTGTTCAGCAGCTTCTACATATACAAGCTTTAGTCTTCGAACCATCCCTATCCCATACACAGCAACCACCCCGCCGGAACATTTTCTCCGCAGCTCAAGTAGGGGCCTATAAAACCGGCTCTCAGAAATTCGCATATTCTTTTCTGCCCGGCACGGTTGTCACAAAATCTAAGTGTTATCCACTAGAAATTTTGACACCATGCCTGGCCGTCTACTCTCCAGCTTCGTTCGCCCCTCCCTCTCTCACCACCACTCTCACCATTCTCCCGTCTCCCATTCCAACTCCTCGTCCTCGTCGTCTGTGAATGAGATCCCACCGAATACAGTGGTCTCCAAGAAGCCATCCGCTCATGGTGCGGAAAGAGCCCGTTCACCCGAGCGTCGTCTGTCTTTCGCCGTCGAACACCTCATCCACCCCCACCGTGATCACAGCAAGGACAAGCGACGCAGCCATGGCCGGTCCTCCCGTTCTAAGGAGCGCGCCGGACAAGAGGAAATTGCCCATGCTCACGCTAAACTAGACGTCATCGTCGAATCCCCGCCACTTGTGTGCTACGGATCCCCTGCGAATTCCACTGGTGCTCTCTTTTCGGGGCGTCTGAAGATCAGCATTTCCGAGCTGGCCGGCATGGTTACCCTGGACACTTTCGATATGCGCCTCATGAGCAGACTGACGACGAAGAAGCCTGTTTCCAGAGACTGCGCTAATTGCGCATCGCGCACTGAGGAGCTGACCCACTGGAACTTCCTGACGGAGCCAATCCACCTCAAGAATGGCGACCATGAATTCCCCTTCAGCTACCTGTTCCCCGGTCATCTACCCGCCTCCTGCAACGGTTCGCTTGGTCAGGTCGAGTATTTCCTTTCTGCGCGTGCCCACAACATCAACGGTGAGGAATACACCTACGAGATGCCCGTGCATATCAAGCGTGCCATCCTTCCCGGAAACGACAAGTCCTCCATCCGCATCTTCCCTCCCACCAACCTCACCGGCCGCATCGTTCTTCCCTCTGTGGTGCACCCGATTGGGACCTTCCCCGTTCAGATGACTCTGAGCGGAATTGTGGATAAAAAGGAAGACACACAGACTCGTTGGCGCCTGCGCAAGATGATGTGGCGGATCGAAGAACACCAAAAGATCGTGTCCACCGCTTGCACCAAGCATGCACACAAGATTGGGGGCGAGGGCAAGGGAGTTCTGCACCAAGAGACGCGCATCATCGGCCACAACGAAGAGAAAGAAGGCTGGAAGACTGACTTTGATACCGCTGGCGGCGAAATCAGCATGCAGTTCGAGGCGAACATCAACCCTTCTTGCAACCCTGTTTGCGATCTCGAAACCCCCGGTGGCTTGGAAGCGAGGCACAACCTTGTCATTGAATTGATCGTGGCTGAGGAATTCTGCCCGAACCGGAACCCCAAGCTCATCACTCCTACTGGAGCGGCGCGCGTGTTGCGCATGCAGTTCCACCTTCATGTTACGGAGCGCAGCGGTCTTGGTATCAGCTGGGATGAAGAGATGCCTCCAGTGTACGAAGATGTGCCTGCCAGCCCGCCTGGATACACCATGCTGGACGGCGACAGCATCATGGAGGACTATCACGGATCCCCCATTCACCTGCCAGAGTATGAGCAATTGGAGCGCATGGACTCCCTTCGACTGGACAGTGACTCTACTCACTCTTCAATCCGGGGTCGGTCTCGCCTGACAACCGATGATCTGACTGCGGAGCCAACGGTACCTGCAGCCAGCAATCGAGCGCCGTCTGTCGATTCTCAAAGCTCAAGACACACGTAACGCTGTCACTTCACCGTCGACCTTCCTTCATCTATCTTCTTTTCTTTTTCAACAAACCTGGACTTGACAGATGTCCATTCAAAGCCACGCCGCTTACGACGTTACGATTTTTAACGAATTGGACGATTAATACATCACAGAGATTCGGATTCATCTCAGTTTCTTTCAACAGTCACTCGAAACAAATTGGCTTGCCATTTCCTAATAAGCTTTCTAATACCAATGGCATGGGATTAAATAAAAAAGGGGGGAATATCGAAAAAAGTTCGTGTTTTAGAAATTTTCTTTGTCTTATCACGGAGTGGGGAATTCTCAGTCCTGCATGATACCCATAGTCGCTACTATATGTCACACCTGGCTATTTCTTCTGTTCTGTACCTTTTGTTCTCAACTGAGAATGTCAAGATCGCTACCAATACACCTGATTAATAGAAATAAACAAAAAGAATAATATTCTCCGAGACGAAGCCTCTCCAGCCCCATCCCAAACTACCGTAACAAGAACAACAAGTTCCACCTCCGGAACGAGTGATCGCCCTTTAGTAACCCCGTAGTTGCAAATCCCCCAACCCCAGCCAGGTAAAGCTTGTGTGACACAATCGGGTAGTTACAGCTTATTCCCCAATTCACCTCAATAAAAACCTCACCACCACAACAGGACACCCTTGCTTGCTGCCATTACCTTGGTCTGAACCCACCAGTCCAGTCCAGTCCAGTCGACTTTTTCTTCAATCTATTCCCCTCGCCTTTCTTCTTTTCAACCTCGCAAACTGTGTGTATGTGTGTATGTGTGTATGTGTGTATGTGTGTATGTGTGTATGTGTGTATGTGTGT